ATAGCTCTGGCCTCTGGCAGTTTTGTTTATATATATTTGTCGATTCATTTTTAGAGTCGGTAAAGTAGAAGTCGATAAAGTAGAATATTGTAGAATATTGAACTATGAAGTGCAAAGCTATTGATATCACCATATGAGGCACATAGAATCCAAGTGTATCACAATTCAAATCCATAGTGTTCAGGCATGGTTCATAGCATAAGATTCACACATGAAATGGATGTGTTTCACAATAAGCGCAACATTAAGGGTGAGAAACATGATAATGACGTTTGGAATTTTTTGAGTGTAGAAAGCGAGTAGTGGCGCTATAGCCATAATACCCCGTTCACATTACAGCCTATACCACGTAATATAGGATGTCTTGCAATAAGCACTCATATATAGGATTTCCAGTGAAAACTAGATGTATGAGTGCTCATTGCAAGACAGCGTATATCACGTGATATACGCTGTAATGTGAACGGGGTATAAGTCACAAAAGGCTAGGACAAGACTTAGTGCTCATGTCCCAACCGTCAGAAGAAAATGGAGCATCACTTAACCTTTCTAGCTTTGATGCTTCCAACGACCATCCAATTATATAATTACCAAAATCGGAACGTACGGTACGAGATGTCCACGTTTCATCAATTTATTGGATTCTGAAGCATCGCAGATTTAAACAGGCCCGATGTTTTCTGAATCATCTTGCTCCTTAAATGCTGCACAGTAGGCCTGGCCGTTTTGATATGTGTGACGCATCTTCGATGTGAAACATATATCAAATGGACAAGAAAAATGATGTAGGATGCTCCAGGATGCTTTCAACAACTGGCTGTGTTGGTGTTAGATTAGATTAGATTAGGTTAGATTAGATTAGATTAGATTAGATTAGAAAGCGAATTAAGTCAATGGATCCCTTGATCGACCTGACCTTAATAGGACCTTACAAAAAAAAAAGAGACTCCAAAATAAAAATAAAAAAAATGATAATACAATCAACTCTCCCTTACTCGATATTTAAGGGGGTAGTACACTTTGAACGTCCAAAAAGTAAGGCATTTTCGTTAATTTCTTTTAAGCAATAAAACACTCAAGGAGGGCAAATATGTTATAACCCATTTAGTAGTCATCCTTCGAACTACAATTTGTATTTTTTTGAACTCGATTGGCGTCTCCCCGTGGCCGGTGCACCAGGTCACGCGGGCGTCCTCGCGCGGAAGTCGGAAAACGGCGTGGGAAAATACTCCTTTCCATGTGATCCTGGAACATAAATCGAACAAAAATCCTGATTAGTAATGAAATTTGGGTTAGAAATACGTATTCCGATTTTTTTTAAATTAATTTTTTCAAAAGTTGTGGCCTTAGGAAAAAGTCCTTACAAAATCGTGGATTAAAAATCCATTTTTGACAAAATCGAAATGTGGATACGTATTTCTAAGCAGAATTTAATTCTGAACAAGAAAACCTAGGCGATATCCAAATTTGATGATACCTGGTTAGAGTTATTTCCCACGCCAGTTTGAAAAACCCCGTTTCGAGATAAACGCGTTTAAAGATAAAATTGCTCTCTCAGCGCACCGGTACATGTTCTAGGAAATCGCTTCGTAAAGCGGTAAGGAATATTCTGGCGGACTTGGAGTCTTTTCTAAATTAAAGTATACATCCCAAGAAACATTTTATGCCAAAAAAAAAATGCATTTTTTTGAAAAATCAAAGTGTACTCCCCCCTTAAGGGACAATCGAGCTACGGAGGTAAATTTTGGAAATTTGTACGGACAAAGAGGTCGAAGTAGCCTGGATTTCTATCGAGTAAGGGAGAGTTGATTGTAAATCTTTCAAAATTATTCAAAAGCACTTTGGTAAACCGTGCAATATACAGAGCCTTTAGGCACATATTAAGTTGCCTTAAGTTGCCCTTGCTACATAGGAGTCAACTTCTCATACAGCTGAAGGTATTGTTCTCAACAGTGTGACCACAGTGGACGTTCGGATTATTACGCGTATTCCGCTGAGTAGTTTATCATTAATCGATTTTGAACTAGGGGCTTCTTTGTCGATTAGCTGTACTCAGAGATAATATTTTTGCACCGAGTAAATTTGAGCAACTCATAATTACTCAACAATGATCAAAGTTGTCTTTTCACCTTACATTCATCCACAAATACAAACAAAATACAGTGTGAATAAATATGATGTGACAGAGTGATCGTTTCCTTATTATTTTATTATCTTCATGTTACAAATCGTTAGTAAATCAATTGAAATTATTACATCATGAATTACCCTGATAAGGGGAATCTAAGAACTTTGCTATAAAGGAAAAACAGGTGAAAATGCCATATCCAGAGATGAACTAACTAAGATGTGCTTTATGAGTGTTTGCCAAATGTTTTCAGCAAATCAGAGGTTCTATAATGGATCACATGCCTACCACTCGAACTTTGGCGTGGAGTAGTATTTTGAAAAAAAAAATCTTCTAGAAACTTATGTTTTATGTATGGTTGTAGGAGGTCAGTCAAAGTGGACCAAAGAGTCCAAAACAACTGTTTAAATAGGTTGACGAAATGAACTGATGAACACAATGAAGATGTCAAACTGTTAGAATATGTTCCTATCTAGAGCGTATGAAATAAACAGCAAATAACACAGAAGACGGTTCGAATGACTTTTTTCAGTATCAACATTTCAAAAGGGCGTAATTGCTTTTGTAAACAATGGCTTCAGACGTCGATTTATCGCAAATAAACGCTCACCCCTCCAAGTTAACAATGCTAGCTAGTAGAGGAAACTACCTGTTGGTGTCATTAATTTTTATGAGTGAGCTTTTACTCGCGAGGAATCGATAGCTTCTGCAATTGTTTACAAATGCAATTACGCCCCTTTGAAATGTTGGCACTGATTTATGGAATTTGCAAATACTATGGTCATCTGATTATCTGTCAACCCAAGACAGCTGATCCAAGCATTGAGCAATTAAGCTCCGTTCACATAAATGTTTGATTTGCTGCGCTATAAGATATTAATGAGTTTATGTTCATACCTGCTTACATGTAGGCATTAAATGTTAATTGTATTTTTTTTAATTCGACATGCTAATCATGAAAAATTCACTTTTTATTAATGATAATTCATTTATGATTTTTTAACGCAAACGTGTCGTTAAAGCACGTATAAACATAACATAAAAACTGTAGGCTACAGTGCTGACACCGCCAATAGTGGCGGCTTCAGCAACCCTCCTTCTTGGCAGAGGATTGTTTATAATGTGTTGTGAGTTCGATTGAGGTTTTATGGTGGTAGTTTTTGCATTAAGAGGAGTGCCATTTTCCCTTTTGAGGTGCTTTTATGTGGTTGAGTGTATTTTATCTTTTCTTTCTTTTCGAAATTTTCCAAAATTTGTTTAACGTTTAATGTTGGTGCTGCCATGGTGATTGTATATGGTGAGTTTGTTCCAGTTAAAAAAAAAAACCGTTTGTTTCCTGGCGGGATGACCTCGATCGCGTGTTCTATATTTTGCGGTTTTAGATAGATCATAAAAAAGCGAAACTGTCGGTAATACATTACGATTTATCTCAAGCCACAATTGTAGAAAATTGAACCTATTTGATCATGACATTGTGATCTTTGAAAACAACGCGAATGAAAAACCTACTGCGTCAGTATCTGTCATGATTACCTGAATTTTGTAAAAAAAAAACGTAAATAGTTACGCTATGTGCAACGAAGAATTCTTCGTTACCTGACAAATCTCAGGTAATCATGACAGCAGTTGGTCTCTTTTCTTCATTTATATTGTTTTCAATAATCAAACGTCATGATTACCTGGGTTTTGTCAAATAAGGTAAATATTTACGTTGTTTGTACCAAAGAGTAGTTACGCTTGATATCACAATATATTCATTACTAAACAGCAAGCTATTTTGAAAAAAAAAACTGACAACACTACTATGACATTTGTGTTTTGATTTTGTTTTCAAGTTTCAATCTTCGCATCACCACTTGAAATCGCGCAAAGTTGTTCAAGTGGCCAAGTCTTTTCGGATGGTGGCCATATTAGTTCATAACTCTCTCACTACGCAGCGCTAGTGTGCACATGATCTTCCTATATAACCTGTATCTCAAAATCCTGGCCATATAGAAAGTTACTGTCTTGAGCAAAGTTGTTCAGGTGATCATGTCCTTTTGTATGGTGTTCATATTAGTTCAGAACTCTCTCACTACGCAGCGCTAGTGTGCATGTGAACTTCCTATATAAAATGTATCTCGGGAACCTGGCCATATAGAACGTTGCTGTCTTCAGCAAAGTTCTTGTTCTTGGATTCAAAATGGCGTCCGGAATGGATTACCAGCCTTTCTACACGTCATCCCTATTGCGTTTCGTGTCCTCACATTGCACAGCAACATCTTATATGGACAAGCTTTCCAAACATAACATATTAAGGAAGTTCATGTGCACGCTAGCGCCACGTAGTGAGATAGTTCTTAAACAATATGACCACCATCCGAAAGGACTTGGTCACCTGAACAACTTTGCTGAAGACAGCAACGTTCTATATGACCAGGTTCTCGAGATACAGTTTATATAGGAAGTTCACATGTACACTTGCGCTGCGTAGTGAGAGAGTTCTGAACTAATATGAACACCATGCAAAAGGACATGATCACCTGAACAACTTTACTGAAGACAGTAACTTTCTATATGGCCAGGATTTTGAGCTACAGGTTATATAGGAAGATCATGTGCACACTAGCGTTGCGTAGTGAGATAGTTATCCGAAATTTCACAACACTATTACACTGTGTAGAAATCTTTGTAATGGAAATTTAATTACAGCCCCCCCCTCCAAATCTACAGCGATTTAGCCTTAAAAAATAAGTAGATTTTTATAATAAAATAACTTCATCGCATCTTTCAGTAAAAAATTTATTGTATGTTCTGAAAAATGATTAACAGAAAAATATATAAAATGTTTTGATTGATTTTCTATTAGTCGACTAGTTGCCAATTGATCCGATGTTTTATAAACAAAATATTCGTTATCTCTTCTCAAATGAATCTTAACATGTATACCTACCATCTAATATCATAATAAGTTACATAGGTTCCTTCTGACCTAGTTAATTGATGTGTAAGTAGTTGCTTGGTACATTCCTTGGAATACTCGAGCGATGCTGTGGAGAACAAAAGTTCAATGAGAATGTCATTGCATTCGCCATGAGTGTTAGTGTAATACTCACAGCATAAGACACAAGCAGAAGAAAAATACCATCGCACTGATCAGATTGAATGCTCCCGGATACCACGCCATGGTTTGCTTATACACGTAGGTATAGATCGGTGCCGAGGCCAGGGGAGTCAGTGATTCAATCGACGTCGTCAGTGCGAAGATTTTCCCAATATCGTTCGGTGGTGCCGTGTTGGCGATTACAGCGCGTCCCATTGGACCGGCAATTCCCTTCATCATCGATACGCCCAGAGCTTTAAAATTCGAAAAGAAATTAATTTTAAGTCACAAATGAAATTAAATTCTCAAGTTCTAGCTTGCTAACCTAGGTACAGATGCCACGGTTCGAAGGCTATCGCTCTGATTCCACTGTCGATGGCGTAGCAGCAAAATCCAATTGCTGCCAGCATACTCTCCGATAGGTTGAAGAGCTTCTTCACACCGTACATAGCCACCAGGTTGCCGATGATCATGAACACTATCACGGTGGCGTCGTAGAAGGAATACTCCTTCACGGTCCAATCGAATCGCTCTCGCAAGAACAGGAAATATACCGTACCGGTGCCCTCTGAAATGGCAAATGACTGCAGTAGCGATAGATTTATTGAAATTATTGACACTTACCCATTGCAAATATGCTCGCTCCGAGCGCCGTAATCACCAACCAGATGATAATGCGGTCAAAGTTTGGCCTTCGTTTGAAACACGTATGGAACAGATCTGCAACCAGTTCGAAGCGGAACACTTCCCGCAGTTTGTTCGTTGAGTTATCCAACTCGTCCGGTTGTATACTCTCCTCAATGTAGAACACAATGTATAAAATTCCCAGGAAAATTGCGCCGGCCGCTATCCCAAACACCGTCATGGCATTGGTCCACCGAAGGATGTAACTACTGCTTAAAACCCCCAGCAAAAGTCCACCGAAGATTGCCGCTTCCAAGACAGTCATTCTAGAAACGTTCAAATGTCAAACTTCGACAATATTTTAATGACTGCACTTTACTCACTTAACCGCCCGGTTCTGTTCGCTGGTCACATCGGTAATATAGCAGAATACCCCCGTTATTAAAGCACAGTTTCCTCCGGACAACGCAGCCGGAATGAAAGCCAGTATGTAGTACCATGGATCTATCTCATACCGACTGGACAGGAAGCATATCAAAGCCACCAGGCTATAGGAGAAGAACGACCCGATGAAGGTGGATAGCAGGACCGGTTTGCGGCCGTACTTGTCGGACCATGGTCCAATGAACATACTGCACAGTGCCGGAATGATGGATTCGATCAAAGATTTCGACATCAGAATGGTGGCCGTATAGGGCTGGACTTGCCGTTCCAGATCTTCGATTTCCTGCGTCTTGTTTTCCGTACCCAGGAGGGCACATTCCGATTCGTTGACTTTGAATGTGACGGTGCAGGCCTGGTAGACGACCTGGTTGGTGAAGACGGCCGCTGAAAATGAATACAGTCGTGGATTTTAAGGGTACGCGATACATCGAGTGATTCTGTTTATTTCGCTTTGAAACGGAATTCCTCTTAGTGCAGAAAATTTAGAGTTTCATTTTTCAATGTTAACGGAATGTATCGGAATTCCGCGGAATTTTGGCTATTTACCTTATCTCTATTTAAAACTATTCTGAAGACGAAGAAGTTCATAGACAATTTTGTCCTCTAAACCTGGTAGAGATGTGACCAATAGAGTGGTTCAAAATATCTCCTCTGGTACAAACATAGAGGTAACTCTAAGACCAGACTCAATTTAAAATCTTTAGTTTCCACCGGTCGGTACAACCATAGAGGTAACTCTAAGACCAGTTGGTCCCGAAGAAACGTGCTCAACTTTTTAGCTCAGCTCTGGTACTATCTTCGGTCAAAAGCTAATCGATACACCCCTCGAAACAGAGGAACATCCACGAGCCCCTCATTTTATCTGTCAAACTTTCATAGCTAATCAAAACAAACATAGTGTAGTACTAGAATTTCTACTGGAATGGGGTACGTTAATCGATTTGCTTGGAACCAATAGGCTAGTCAAGTAGTAAGCCAATTTAAAATCGTTAGTTTCCACCGGTTGGTGCAACGGTCGAAGTCTTTAAATGCATTTAAGTTAAATATGTGTGTTCGAACGCACCATCGGTGCCGGGCTCTACTGCATTTGAATATGCAAAGTAAACAGCTATAACTACCGTTTCGCTCCCCATTATCGTGGTATTATTTATGTTTGTTATTCAATGTTATTATTTACATTTTGTAATGGTTGTTTTGTAATCGATATTAATTGTACTGTGTTAGCTTTCAAGGAAGAAATGCAATATATAGTTTGTACTACCTCCAAGCCGACAGGATGCCTGTCGGAGGCAATAAAAAGTAATATTATAGTCCCGCCAAGTGAAGTTCGTAGTTTATTGTGTGTTCTGAAACGAAATCCTCCACTGCCTTGAAAAGTAGACGTAATATTTAATATGTAATGAAATGTCTAGATTAATCGACCGTCTGGTATTCGGTGCAGTACGGTGTATGAAATCAAGCAAGGAGAGTTCTGTTGAATAGTTTTCTTATGGGGCAATTCCTTATTTTTAAGTTTACTATAAAATGAATATTATGTAACAAGATACATTCTCTATGGAACATGCATTATTATAGGGTGACCAGAAATATACAGGAACAGCTTCTTAATTATACTACTACTTCTTGTTGCGTTTTCCCTGAAATCCTTCTCCATAAACTTAATAAAGCAATAATTTTCCATTATGGGTTTCTGCTGACGAGGGGTCTTTAAATGTCAAAAAATAGCATATATGAATTGTTATGGATCAACTAAGCAATAATTATGGAGCGATTTCTAAATGTGTTGCTAATTGCCACTGGCGTGTTCAGGGTGGGGCAATTGCCCCACCCCTTTTATAAATAAGATTTTTATTTTCACGTTTACAAAATTAGAATATAAAATAACTTGATTTCTTGATAACTTGAGCTGACGGTAAAATAACTTCATTTCATAATACAAGGGCACTGAAAACCTTTTGATGCGTCAATTCCTTTGAGATGGTGCCTGAAAATTGCACCATAAAGGTGCATGAAGGAACAAACTTCTATGAAATTTTTGGTCAAAAAATTGCACCACATACAAAACATGCATACATGCATACAACAAATTTTTAGCGTAATTTTATTTTTCAAGGTGGTTCATGGAGGGTTAAAAGAAGAGGGTACATTTAAGGTTGAAAAACAATTCATCTTGGTGGTGGAAAATCGAAGAAAAAGCTTTTTATTGAACATTTCTGGTGTAAAAATATCATCAAGGTGGTGCATGGAGTGACTAATCAAAATGAATAACTCTGATGGAAAAAAATTGAATCACGCTAAAAATTTGGAGGTGCACATTTAACTGAAAATTTCTGGTGGAAAGTTCGCAACATTGTGGTGAATGTAGAAGCAAGGTTTATTAATTTTTCTGGTGCATAATTTGCATCGTTCTATAGAATGCAAGCTTCATTGGAAATTTATGGTGGAAAATCTTCACCATTCTGGTGCATGAAGAGGCTTGAAATTTGCACCACAAAGGTGCATGATGCAACAAACTTCACTGACAATTTTTGGTGCACCGTTCTGGTGAATGGAGGATCATGCTTTATTGAAATTTTTTGATGAAAAGCTTGCATCGCTCTGATAAATGAAATGAACAGAAAATTTTTGGTACAAGCTTTATTTAAAATTAAGGTTTATTGAAAACTTCTGGTGGAAAAGCTGCATCGATCTGGTAAACGGATTGGCAAGCTTTTTGGAAAAAATGTTGGTCTTAAATTTGCATCCTTCTGCTGAATAGAGAAACAAATTTTAATAATAATTTCTGGTGTAAAATTTGCACCATTCCGATGATTGGAGGGAAGCTGCTTGACTGAAAATTTATGATGAAACATCCGAAAATAGGGGCAAGCTTAATTTGGTGGAATACCTGCAACATTCTGATGATGATGATGGTCCCACCTCTTACCCCTACAAAGGTTTGAGCTGGACGATTTATCTTTAAGATTATTAAAAATGACAATTTAACCAGGTTTGCAAACAAAATCGAACTGGTTACACTTAAATATATAAGTTCCCTCTAGGATTTACAGTTGCTTCACAGCGATATAAATGTGAAAATGCTCAGGCGTCCACCTCTTAGTTCGCCTTTGTGTCCACCTAAAATATTCATAAGTATTACAAGCAATCAAGAGTTAACGAACAATCAACAAAGCATCCTATTACACTAGCAACCCCACAATCTAATGCCATCATAATTTTCAGCGATGTCAGGAATGCTAACGAACCCCCAACATTTGTCAGAAAACTTACTACCGTCGTTATGACAGCTATCCATATAAAATAATCCGCTAGAGATAACTTCGTCAAGATACATAATTTTTCAATTCATAAAAAAACACTGGATAACTGTTCAAAAGACAGTTTTAACGTGTGAAATGCAGTGTCTTTTAAATTATGTAAGTGTTGGTGAACGTTTGATATGCCTAGGCATCGAATTGAAAACATTCAAAGTGACGAACCACCCAGTGGCATTTATTCCTTTATAATATAATGAATTTTGTGAAGCACAAGTCGAGAAATGTGCTGTTCTTATTTCAACCGCGTTTCTAGTATTATATCTATGAAAGTCACTTCCTCTTTCAATTCGATCACACAAATATCGAGGCAGCAAACCTTTAACTACTTTAAAAATAAACACCATAGTCAAATATACAACTCTTTGCTTCACCGACGACCATTGTAAGGTGTCAAGCATCAAAGTTGAGGAAGTGAATCTATTGCATCTCAAAATCAAACGCACTATTTTACCATAGAGGTAACTCTAAGACAAGTAGGTCCCGAAGAAACGTGCTCAACTTTTTGGCTCACCTCTGGTACTATCTTCGGTCCCAAGCTTGTCGAATCACCCCTCGAAACATAGGAAAAACCAATAACCCCTCATTTTATCTGTCAAACTTTCATAGCGAATCAAAACAAACATTGCGTAGTACTAGAATTTCGACAAGAATAGGGTACGTTAATCGATTTGCTTGGGACCAATAGGCTACTCAAGTGGTGAGCCAATTTAAAATCGTTAGTTTCGTATTGATTGTTGATTTTACTCTGCAAGCGCTATAATCTCGATATTTGTGTTGCATTGGCCAGAAATAAAATGGAAGGGCAAAAGTCTAGATGAGGAGAGATGATTGATTTGTATAGCTGTATTTTACTGACAATAGTTAAACCGTTTTTCAGTCGACATAGAATTCCATACTTCTGGGCAATTTTCTTGATGACATTGTCAATGTGAGAGTTGAACTTAAGTTTGTCATCAATAATCACGCCAAGATATTTAATCTCCTGAACGCGATCAATAGTCTCATTATCAATTACAACAGAGACGTTCTCATTTAATCGATTCCGTGAAATTACCATAAATTTAGTTTTACTTGTATTCAATTTCAACTGCTTCAACCATCTAGTTAGAGAACGCAAATCTTCATTTAAGTGTAAAACGGCATAATCTAAATCCTTAGCTGCAATGAATAACACAGTAGCATCTGCAAAAACATTAATGTCGCAAAATCGTAAAAGACGTCGCAAGTCATTAATATACATAATAAATAACAGGGGCCCTAATGCACTTCCCTGGGGCACTCCAAGGTTATTCCCCACGGGACTGGAAACAGAATGGAAAAAGGAAATATTGTGTTAGATTTGCAACAATCTGCTGCAGGGAGGGGCAAGCTAAATGAAAATTCCTGATGTAAAAATTGCACAGTTCTGGTGAATGTAGGAGCAAGCTTATTGAACATTTCTGGTCGAAAAACTACAACGTTTTGGTGAATGAACGGACAACTTAAACTTGACTTCCGAGAAGAAACTCAAGGGCATTGAATTCTGAGGACTGTTCCAAAAGAAAAGATTTCTGGGGATGATTCCGTTATTATTCTGCGAATAATTTCTAGTGAATCCTGTAGATAGTTCCAAGATTATTCCGAAAAGAATACAGAGAGAATCAAATTTTGAATGAAATTCCAAAGGGATGTTGAGGAAAATTTCAAGGGAATTCCGAGGATAATTTCAAGCTCTTTCTGGGAAGAATTTCTGGAGAATACAGAGGAAATTCTTCTGAAACTTTAGGGTAACTTCAGTTCCAAGGTGTTCTGAGAAAAAAACAGTTCTAAAATATTCCGAGAAGAACCTTAAGGATATTCCAGTTCCTAAATATTTTTGGGGAGTATTCAAAAAATTTTTTGCGGATAATTTCTAGTGCAACCTGCAGATAGTTCCAAGATAATTTCGAAAAGAATACCGAAAAAATCAAATTTTGAGTGAAATTCCAAAAGGGATTTTAAGCAAAATTTCAAACGAATTCCGAGGATAGTTGCTAGTGCATTCCGGGAAAAAAAATTGAAACTCTAAAGGAATTTTAAGTTCCAAGGTGTTCTGAAAAAAAATCGTGAGGAGTTCTAAGTATAATTCCAGTGGACTTCTGAAATGGATTTCAAAAGAGATCTTAGGAGAGTTCTTAAAAAAATCCGAGAAGAACCTCATGGATATTGAATTCTCAGGACAGTTCCACAGGATTTCTGGGGAGTATTCCAAGAAAAGTCTTCGAATAATTTCTAGTGAATCCTGCAGATAGTTCTAAGATAATTCCGAAAAGAATACAGAGAAAATTAAATTTTAAGTGAAATTCCAAAGGGAATTTCAGGAAAATTTCTAGGGGGTACCGATAATTTCTAGCTCATTCCGGAAATAATTTCTGGATAATACTGAGGAAATTCTTCTGATACTCTAAGGGAATTTCAGTTTCAAGGTGTTCTGAGTAAAAGTCAAGAAGAGTTCTAAAAATTATTACAGATGACTTCTGAGAATAATTTCAATAGAGCTCATACAGTTCTAAAAATTTCGTAAAGACCCTCAAGGAATTCTGAGGATGGACTTTTTCGCAACTGTATAAAGTTTAAAGACAGCTTTGGATTCCCTTATTGAAAAGTGGGTATTAGTTTGCCATTGAACTTTGGTCTATTATTGTCTTACTAAGAATTCGTCTAAGAATGTTCTCTGAAAATTTCAAGTTATTTGTTACCGTGGTTAAAAAGTTACAGCTTTCAAAGTGTTTTTTATGTTACTTCATACGCGAAGTTAACGATTTTCAGAGTTGGTTGGAAATGCTAACATGAAGCTTTAGTGTGATGATTTATTAGCTATTGAATGTAACAACTCAAGGCGGGAGTAGCCGTCAACAATGCTGATGATGGTACAGCACGCAACAACCACCCTACTGCTTTCTCTCTGAGATGATCACGTTGGTCATGACGAGAGGAGCAACACAATAGTTGGGTAAAGAAGAACTGCATTATAACACACCATCGACTGGAAATGCTCTCGCAAACGTGGGGCTTTAGGTAGTGATGAAAACGTCGCTAGAACTATTCCACAGCCGCAGTCAGTTTATGAGCAACAAGAGGGACGCACATTTTTGCCTGTGGACTTGGAGACATACTTCAAGTCCCCGCGTACATCGTACGGGCTAGGCAAAAATGTGCGTCTATCTTGTAAACTGTCGCTTTAATGGCCCTTCGCTCATTTTCAACTTCTATTCAATTTTCATACTGCCGTACTCTAACGGAACTATCCACCTACCCTCTTCTAAAGATCATTCTCTAGCTAATAAATCATCACACTAAAGCTTCATGTTAGCATTTCCAACCAACTCCGAAGTTACAGCTGTTTATGTGCGTAGCAATAAATTCGGCATTGTCCTTTGTTTCATCTTTAAAACATGTTGAATGTTCGGCATCATTTCGTGTCACCCCGACTGGCGGTACTTTGGGGCACATACTTCGCACACGTTGTAATTCCGTTAACAATCCTGTACTCGCTTGTCAAAATAGATTTTTGCGCTTTTGTTCCAATCTTTACATATTTTTGAAACCTTTTAATGATCCTTGGCATTTAGGTCAAAATTAAAAAAAAAAATAGAATTTAAATTTTTGCTGAAAATGACAAAGTTTAACGAACTTGCAACGGTAATAGTAAAGTGTAACTACAACAGCATATAAGGGCTTACAAAACCTTGAAATAGTCTAAATAAACTGTAACGATGCCTTAAAATAAACAAAAACGTACTGCGCAAAATTTCAGAAAGGTAACTGAATAAAAGATGATACCAGTACCTTGAAGAATATTTTTTTTTTGGTTCATAAGTTTAATCTGTAAAGAAGAGCATGACGCAAAACATTATTACAACGATTCCTACAGGGTTCAGAAATTGGAAGAAAGCGACCGAGTTGCTGGTGATACCCATGTTGGTAATATGGAAGCAATATTGATAATGATGGGATTAAATTGCAAATTCCATTGACTGTCTGAAAGCAGTTTGCAGTGAAGAAGATGAACAACCACCGGAGCAAGAAATAAAAAAAATATAGCTAAATTGAACAGTAGGGAAACAGTGGTGGGTGGACAGCAACATCCACCACGCACTTTGGAGAACTCCCCATATCCAGATTAAATGCACCATAGAAAAAAAATTGCTGTGCACGCTAGTGCTAATTACTTATTCATTATGGAGCATTTTGTAAGGATAAACTTCATTGCTTTCACTTTTTAAGTAAACAAAATCATTCCATGCAAATCCTTTCAGTGCTGCCAGTTGATGATATATCTGCCAAATGTAAACATAGCTTTCTTTATGGCTCAGGATTTGATCAAGTTTATGGAGCGTTTTCGTTTCTATATGGTGAGATCTGATGAATGTATGGAAACTACTAGAGTTCTTCAAACATACACTTTATGGTGCAATTTTAGTTTTAAAAGAAACAACATCGATATAATTGTGGATCACCAGTTCACAAAATATGGAAACGGTTTCGACTATTTATGGAACATTCTCATATTTTTATGGTGTTTGATGGGATTATTTACTGGTGCAATGTTTCACTTGAAGTCATAAAACTTCTTGTTCTACCGGTTCAATTTGAACTACCCATGGAGAATCTTCGATTACATGTGAAGAATGTTGTAAATTTTAATGGTGTATGACTTCATTCCTTATGGAGAACTTTTATTTGTTTTATGGAATATTGTAGTTTTACAATGGTCGAAAAAAAACACAGTGTAGGGCCGCATCATGGCCGAAACATTGGTGCCGTGACCAGAGTAGCGCATGGGAAGCTGTTGGGCGCCATCGTGATTGGATCAGCTTGGCGCCATTTTTCAATTCGGCAACGAGTGAAAATATGCTGAACTAAATATACCGTAAGGACTTGAAAGTATTGATTGACCGAATGTTACACCTTGATCCCAATCCTCATTCATATGATTCTTTATGTAAATTTGGCTGGATCTGGTCAATCACGGAGTAGCAACCTCGAAATTTATGGTTGTCAATCTCAGATCATGCAAATTTTTAGAAATCTTAATCAGAACTGCACATGACATTCAAAAGCACTTCCATCGTTTATTACAGCTTTATGTACGATTTTTTTCCAGTGATTGATTGATGGTTTATAACATTCATACCCCTTTTTACTCTGAATTTGCATTTGGCATATTAGCCATGTCTTCATTTATGAACTGTTATATCTAGTATATCCCGATGATAGCAACAGCCCTATAGTAAACAATTTTAATATCACTTACAGGAAACGTTCCACGCGTAGAACAGTAGTAGAATAGCCGGCTCCAGAATAACATATCGATACTTTCTTTCAAATTTGTTCTGCTCTGGGCTCGGTACCGCAGGCGAGTCTTCGAGATACCCACTCACTTCACCTCCATCCATTGTCACTGTGTCTCGATCGGAAAGGTGTCGTTTGCACCTAACTCGCAAATACTGCACTTATCAGCAACTTTCCCCGCCGATTCTTATCACCATCCTTTGGCTACGGTTCGCGTTGTTCGTTGACTCGATACTTATTGGATTGCTTTCGTTCGAGACGGTTGCAATGCCTTTAATTCCTCGCACTCAATGCTGCTCTGCTCGACTGCAACAGAACCCGGGAAAACTAAAACAGAGAAAATTGATATCAACCACCGAGGACAGATGAAGTGTTATCAATTCCGCATATTTAGCACCAAGATGACAATGCATATGACTCACGGAACGGGGTGCATTAGGAACAAAGAGTCTCTCGTACAATTTTGCTAAAATGCAAACGTCGCATGAATCCTTCCAAGTTTTTTTTATCGACCCTGAATTAAAAAGTGTAACCAAATACCGCGCTGATAAAGAGAAAGTGTAAACATACCCACCTCCACCACAAACTTTACCACCTAACCACGCCTTCGGTATCGCATATGCAAATGACTCAAAACTGCTTCGTATGCAGATGAGCAATTAAAGGTTCACAACTAATCCAAAACTCCGAACACGCACCGAAATCAAAACATCATCACGTTGAGTTTTCGCATCTATCGTTATCAGCTAGTATACGACGCACGGTGTGAGAAAATTCGCCTATCACAACTTTGATTAGAATACCGTCAACAGTGCTGAACTGTGAATATGTAGGTACCTAATAGACTTGGTGAATTAAACGAAAGTATATACGCATCAGACGGTATTCAAAACAAAAACAACACTCTCGGTGAGCAGCAATGACGGGGCTCGATGATTCGGTTTCTGGTGAATGGGTGAGCAGTGAGTCGAAGGCCATGATCGGAATGATGTTTTGATGAAGTCACGAATACAAGAGCATCGGATTATTCTAATGTACTGCCGTCCATCCACACACACACAAGTAATGCGGAAGGTTTGAAAGTGTTGCAAGTGGTTGCTTAGTATTGCTGATTGCATCTGGGACTGCCCCAAAAATGCAAAAAGTGTGATAAAAGTACACGTTTCCGTCAAATTGTGTCGGTATCTCCGGGGCATTTATTGCTTGCATCATAAGGAATAAGTACACCGAAGGCACCAAGACGATTAGACGGAAACCCTCACTTTTATCACACTTTTTAATAAGCGAAAACGCGCTAATTAGTCCAGTTTGGTGTGAAATGCGCAATATTAATTACCAAGCAACAAGAAATGCCAAAGCGGATTAGTTTTAACACCCTTCAGCTGAGTCAGTCAAGTATTGTGGAGATAAGAGCAGATTACTCTAAAACGATGAAAGTGGTGTTGGGTTTAAGCGAAGACAACGCTATGAGACAGGTACAATCGCGTCATCTGCAGCTGAAAGGTAAATACTTCGAATGAATTTGATAGCAAAGATTTCATCCTCGAAGATATGATGTCTTCGGTTTAAGGCATCACATGCTTTTTTAATGCTTCTCCTTAAAATGGAATTAGTTTGATGGAGACGCACGGTTATCAGAAAAAAAAAGTTTTTTGTTTAAGATTTTGACATGTGCACTGGAGACATGTTTTTTTTAAAACTCTTTATTTGTTCCAAAATTAAATCAATTTACAGTCATTTTTTAACCTAGTAGCTTACAAACTTTATTTGTTATTATATTATCTAAGTGTGTCTGCTTACATTGTTTTTGCCTTAGCAGTTCAGTATTTAAACAAGTTTTTTTTATAGATACCTGAGTGTCAGTATCACTATTGTATTTTCAATCTAAAAACTTCAAATAAATCTTTTTTAATTATAGACTGAATTGAACGATGCAATTGAAGATTGCAACGATTTTTGCTAGAAATTGTGAATTATTTTATCGGACATTTCTTCAAAGGCTCAACATTAGAAATTCATCCCAAGTAAAACAGAAAATATGTTTTCGAATATGAATAAAAAGTTATGTAGTAACAATGTTTTCCAAAAACAATCTTCCTGCATCTGATTTTCTGAAATAAGTGGACGAGAGTGAGAACAGGTTCGATTTTTTTTTTGATTTCCTTGTTTGGACGACAGTAAAAGTCATTTTTTTAAACACGAGCAAACATGCTACAATTATACAACAAAATATACTTTTGGTTGCATCGCCAACTTGAGGTCAACCTCGGAAACTATTTGCATATCAAGCGAAACCGTAGTCGGGTTTTGTCGCGAAGTGTTATGGTTATGAGATGCTCGATGACCCTGGAGGGATCGTTTTTGCTTACTGAGCAGAAAATCATGGGTTTAATCCCAAGCTCTCCGTCATGACTCTTAAAATTCATGATCACTAAACAAAATTAATATTTTCTTTCGATAGTCGGCTATCGAGAGATTAAATGAACAACAAATAAACAATACATACTTTTGGTTGCATCGCCAACTTGAGGTGAATCCTAACCGAATACCCTACCCAACCCTCCAACTCCGTAGCACTTATGAGGGTGTCGCTAAGTCGGTGGTCTCTCGTTAAGAAAGTACTACATCAACATTACCTTCCCTATCCCTAGTTATGGTAAAGATGGGCGTGGCCGGGAATAGCGACAGTCATGCTTCTGTTACTCTTGTTTAGATTGGAACCAATGTTTACTCCGCAGTATTATTCCTGAAAGTAGTTTAACTGAGGATTCAGAAGAGACGTGAGTGTCGCTAGTATCCAATCTACGAAGTATATCATAGCAACGCTAACGCTTGAAATAACAACTTCCACTATTGCCTGTAACTGCAAATGAACAAAATGGGAAGATTTATTCTAAACATTTAAAACCTAGTTGCCTTCCTATGCGAACCACCTCCCATCCTTTTGTTCCCACGCGATCAGCCTAAAAGTAATATTTGCCTCTAATTCCTTAATATGTTACCTTTCTACATTTTCCATCCTAAGTAACACTTTTGCATGGTAAAATGCTTCATTCCGAGTTTCCTATCTAAAGTATACATAGTTTAGGGTGAATACTTCCATCACGGCCACCTGACTCCATCCCAACGCACCCTGTCATGGTAAATGGTATTCCCAAATGCCACAAACCAAAACACAAAAGTCACACAGCCATAACGAAAGTATTTTTTATCGTTTTACGGTTTTTTTTTTTTATTGGGTATCAAGCTGAAGCTGCGTGACAGCTTAGTTTTCATGAATTGACCCATTTGAATAAATTTTGCTTCTATCTTTGACAATACAGCAGAAGGACTAGCCTATGTTGGCCGCTTGAACACTGGATTCCGTATGTATTGTTTCAAGATAGTTATAGAAAAAATGCTGTGACGTGTGCGCGTAGATACATCCGCGTAGTAAACCGATTGAATAAGTAAATCCGTTTCGAACGAAATATCTAAATTATGTAAGTTACGAAAACCGCGTGAATTCCGAAAGCCGTGCGAGACAACCGAAGCGAGAAAAAAAGGCTTATTATCATTTAAAGAGTGCCACCAAAATAAATGTGATAGCCTATGTTGGCAAGTTGATTAATTTTGGTTTCCTCCCTAGATATTCTACTTATTTACTATTGAGCTTTGTATCAAACTAGTTAATTTAAAGAACGTGTCAATCATTTCAAGATTTCGCGACGGAACCGATGAAATTCTATACTACATAAGCTCAAAAGCGTTTGACAAGCTCTACCGAATTGCGTATCACTTCTGCGTAAGCTCCGTAGACATAGGCATGTTGAATCCGACAGTCGGCAAAGGTTTAACCTGTACCAACACCGCTTAAGGAACGACCTCGAGTCAGTAAAACCGCTTAGAGCTTAACATCTCAATTACGTAAGATACGAAAATCGCGCAAATTGTGAACGCCACGCGAAACAACCGTAGAGAAAAAAACAGCTTATTATCACTTAAAGAGTGCCACCAAAATAAATGTGATAGCCTATGTTGGCAAGTTGATTAATTTTGGTTTCCTCCCTAAATATTCTACTTATTTTACTGTTGAGCTTTGATTCAATTTAGTTATTTTACCGCACGTATTAATCATTTCAAGATTTCGCAACCGGACCGATCAAATTCTATACTACTGAAGCTAAAAAAAAAAACGTTTGGTGAGCTCTACTGCATTGCGAATCACTTCTGCGTAAGCTCCGTAGACATAGGTACGTTGATTCCGAGATCCGCGAAAAGTTAAACATGCATCAATACCACATAAGGAAAGATCGATTTTACGTATGGTTTAGTTCATAGATTAGCATTGACTGCTGTTTAAAAATGTAAATACTTGAACACTAAGAAATAAGTTGACTCAAATGCTTTAACCGCATATATAAGAGATTTCGCGTTTTGAGAGAATAATATAGTAATCGAGTACAACAAACGCAGGGGAATACAATACCTCCAAAAGTTTAAAAGCTATTAATTGTCACATACCTCTACTTTTACTTATTTCCTAAACTATTCCTCTCCTTGTTTCTGCTTAATGCTATTGGTCTGCCTGCGTTTTATTTTTAAAGTTCAAGACTAAATAAGAAGATTTATTCTACAACTTTAAAGGTTAGTTGCCTCCCTAAGCGGACCCCCAGCATCCTAATTCTTTTGTTAATCTACTTAATGTCATTAGACTTTCTGAAGTTTCTTATTTAAGTTCATTTGATGATTATGATATCTCATTAGTCTATAATAAATTATTAAAAGCTCTAATTCACCTAATCAATCTAACCCATGCTTTATTAAGTACCTGCACTTGTTTCAAGAACTTTTGATTTTGACCTATAAGTGACACCTTCAAGTGACTAAAATGCTTCACTTTGAAGTTAGTTTTCTAGCTGATTTTTAAATTATATATGGTATATGCTCCAACTATGCTCACACGCTTCCACTATGTCGCACCACAAAAATACGTATGGGTATGTCACAATAGAAGCACGCCAGAGTGGAAATCCCGAGCCATAGTTCAAACACTTATCCCAAATAAAAATGAAGCACATATAAGATTAGTTACAATACCATGTACAAAAATGATGTTTAACATTGTTTCCTGACTAATACTTCAATGAAAACAACAATGAAAGCTTGTCACGCAAATAGAAGAAGCACCGTTGGGCACTTTCTGAAATATTTCAATAGTATAATTCCCTTGCCAACCCAAATAAATCTATCTGCGTAAAAATAAATAAAATAAGAGTGATTTGAGGCAAAGCCCGCCAGTATCACACCCAACGTCAGTGCCTATACGTAAGCGTACTACGACGCGGCTCTCAATTAAAGGAGTAACAAGTGTGATCCCAACTAACAATTTTCGCAATGTAAACGCTTTACTCATTTCATTTATACAGCCTCAAGCTGTATTCAAATGTTATACGATATGAGGAAACCTTTACGCAACCTCTATACAAGCAAATCTGGCGAACTTAGTCAGCTACTTCTAGTTGTTGTGACGGTTGAAACAAGCTCTTATTGCATATCTATTTACGCTTCTATACAGCTGTTATCCTGCTGTTTAGTTGTGTGTGAACTTGTAAGGTGCTTACTCAACCTTTACCCGATTATGCAATAATCACGCTTTTTTTTGTTGGAGGAATTGATTGAGTTTATTTTGCTGCGAATATCAAATTATTCGAAATTAGTTATAAGCACACCACCAAATTATTTACCCTGCACCGGAACCTGGAATCAAACTCGAGACGACCGTATTGATTGGCAAACCTTGATACTACCATCTTCGCTACGCCAACACGTTGAACAGACGTAAACAAATAACATGACTTTCTACAATAA